GTCACTCCGCACACCAATCTTGGTTCATCTCTTTTTGTCTGTGTGCCTCAAGTGTGCAGCAGGTGTACCGATTGTGCTGGTCATAGAGCAAGCTGCGATTGTTTGTAAAATACCCATCCCGGCAACCCGGTATTTCTGACACCTTGAATGTTTTGGTTTGAAATTGCAAAGATAAATCGGATTAAGGATGACGCGGGAAGTGGCGGGTGTGCGAAATTTCGGTGATTTGTGTTCCATAGGGTAATAAAAGTCCTGTTTTTGGGTGCTTTAGAATGTCCTCAAAGGTAGACCAGAAACCTAACTTTTCGTGATGTGAAAAGCATCGGTCTATCAGCGGCCAGAAAGAGTTGAAACCGGTGGGGAGCGTTGTTGGAGACCGACTTTAGAGGATGATGAATAGACTTCTTTAGTTTATTTTGTGTGAGTTGCAGCATTATTTGAATTAACAGTACTAATGCGGTACTAACTGCCTTTTTCTCTTGAGCCAACTCTAGAACCTACATTTCAAATTTAGATCTATAAGTGAACTGCTGATCTGAGTTCCTCTGATATACTCAATTAGAGGATGTTCCTGAAAATACAGTCAAACAGCACGTAATGTTGTGAACAACTTCAATGACAGTTGTCCAGCAGTGCTCCCATTTTATTTACAATAATCCAATGCCTACAAGATTGTGCCGAAGGTATTTCGAAGTGTGCCAATGGTTGTGCCCAAGCTGTGCCGAATGTAATTTCGGCACAATGTGCTGAGTGACTTACCCCTTGGGTTAAACCCATTTGGTATCAATTTATTATTTACACGTACATTATAGAGCAAAGAGCTTTTTCAGGTAATGTAATCAAAAAATACACACAAAAAGCACGGATTTTTTTAAGTGCTGATCCATGCAAACTATCCTGCAGCTGAATTCTGAGCATACAATTCATCGAAAAGAAAGAAATTGATACATATTAGGTATATGCCGAAATTGAAATTTCTGTCCGGAATTTAGCTGCTGGAGTGCAAATTTGTGACAATATAGCTAAAACACCAAGGCGTGCAAATAGGACCATAATATCAAGATTCATCATTCAACATTCCATCTGATTCCATTAGCTGGAAAACTTTTGAATACTTCCTGATCAACCTACAACCTACCAAATATCCAGTGAACTTTACTAATGTCTTGGACTATATGGAGATCTTTCGAATATTTCCTGATGTCTAGGAAGGATGTTTTAAAGAATATCCTGTAACTTATGCAACGTTTCCTGAACATCTACAAAACTTAGGTTTTACAAAATTTCCTCAACTTCTACGAAGTTCCCTGAATTTATTACAAATTCCATATTTTTTCCATTTCTTTAAATTCACAGAAGATGTCTGGACATCTCTGCGCTTCTGAAAAAACACCTAAGACATATACAAATATTATTGAACACCTAGAAAGTTCCTTGAATTTAGCGATGTTCCCAAAACCTCCAAAAAGTTCATGGAGCTTTTTTAGAGTAAGATCTCTTAAAAACTGCAACGAAGTTCCCTAAACTGAAGCGAAGATCCCTGAAGCTCTTAGAAATTTATTGAACCATTTCTAGAACTTTTAAAAAATTCCCTGAACTTTTTCAATATTCCTTACATTTATATGAAGTTTTACGCAGCTCCTCAAAATGCTACGAAATTCGAAAATCTTCTACAAAGTTTTCCGTTGAATTTCCACAACTATTCCTAGTCCATGAGGCTAAAAAAAAAAACTGAAATTATGTAGAGGTTCCCGATCAATAATGAGCTTCCCTAAAATAAAATAATGTTCCTTTAACTTCTACGAAGCTCCTCAAATTTAAATGAATTCTCTACTTCTACACAGTATTTAAAACTTTTCCAAGTTCCTTTTTTCTACGAAATTTTTTGTTTTACCAAGTTTACTTAATTTCTACAATCTTCCCTGAACTTCTATTTGAAGTTTAACGAAGTTTCCACAAGATTAAGAAAAATTCCTGGGCTCATGGCCAATTTGTAGAGCCTGAAGACGTCTTATTGCCATCGATTTAATATAATATAATTTATTAAAATTGTTTCTTCTAGTCCAGAACATAACAAAAGTAATCAACATAAAGGATTTAAAAAAATCTTTGTTGATGGTCCAATTTTATTAATCACTGTTAAACCGGTGAGTCGAAAACAAACACCAAAAATTCTGGAGGGGGCCTAGATCATTCTGGAGAGGGCCCGGCCCTCCTGGCAACGCCATTAGTTACGCCAATGCCTTAAACTAATGAAAAATCAGCTCAGAAGAAGCTGGGGAGGCTGCAAAGACTTTTTTGACGTAGAACTACGTCTTTGTTGACTACACTGGGGTGCAAGTCAAAAAATATGTGTGGTGAAGGAGTGTTAGGTTTTGAACGCTTGTAACTTTGTCATTTATAGATTAAATTAAAATCCAAATACGCCAATCGATAGGATATTACATTACGAACCTGTTGAAATAAATATTTTTCCAATTTTTCTATAATTAAACTTTTGAAAATGTACAAATGATAATTTTATCACTGATTTCATGAAATAAGCCTTTTTCCCAAACCCAGTCATCATAAACGAATACCACTTGGTTGCACATCATTCTGCTTGAACCTGAAAAGATATAAATCAGCGCTGCACTCATGCCACTGCTCATTACCGCTTCGGACGTCGTGGCCATAGGTCCTGCATCAAGCAGGACTAGGTTAGCGGTTAAAGGTGGATCACGGCGTGTCCACCACAGTGATGAATGATACTTGTAAAAACGTGCATAAAAAACTCCCTCCCGCTTAACAACCCCCTCCCCTCCCCCTTAACAATAACCCGAAAAAGACATGGACTATGTATGACGATCATGTTTTTCGAGAAATAAATTTTAAGCAAAACCCCAATAATGTATGAACAATTAATTTTTTACATGCAGAGCCAACATTTTCAAAAAAAAAAAAAATATTGCCACTCGATGAATTACCAACAACTGACTGTAAAACATATCTGGTACCTCTATATATGCAATTATATTAACATACTCGCCCCTCCCTCAACAATCTCTCCCCCCCTCAACAACCTCTCACCCCTCCCCCTCAACAACCTCTCCCCCCCACCATCAACCTCTCCTACTCCCCCACCATCAACCTCTCCTACCCCCCCACCATCAAATGTGTAAATTGTTTTGATTCAACCATAGTCGAAACATTGAAATACTTGAAAATTTTAAGATAAAGTATAATAGTCAAAAATGTATGAAAAACATCAATTTTGTGTGGTTCTACGTCATACTGCGGTCGTGTCTAGGACACAACCCTTTAATTTTTTTTTTTTAATAACTGGTTCAATGAGCAGCACACCAAGTATGGCACTAGATGCTCTACTTTATCTGCTTCCGTTGCATCAATTTATTCAATTAGAAGCCGAAAGGAGTGTATTAAGGATCCAACGGTCACAGCACTTTCTTGAATGTGATCATATGAGCATCCTAAAAGGTTCAATATTGATTCTCTTGTGATACAAAATGAAGATTGGATGAAGAAAAATATCACTTCGATCGTCTTTACAATGTAGTAGATGCGGATCGCGATTTGTGGGACAATGGGGGACCAAACATTCGACCAGGATCAATTGTCTTTTATACAGACGGCTCTAGATTGGATAATCGTGTAGGAGCAGGGGTAACAGGTCCAGGAATAATGTTCTAAAATTTGCTTACGTAGAAATTATAGACATTCGAATATCTGCATTATGTCTGATAGCCAAGCAGAACTAAATGCTTTGAAATCAGGAACATGTAATTCTAAACTTGTATGGAAATGTGCAATGTCACTCCAAAAATTGGCCTGCCAAAACCAAGTGAACCTATTTTGGGTTCCTGGTCACTGGAATTCAAGGGAATGAGAAAGCCGACACACTAGCTAGGCTTGGATCATCTCAACAATTTAGAGGACCAGAACCATTCTGTGGACTTTCTGCTCTTAGAATGGAGTTCAAGAAATGGGAAAAATGAAAGTGGAGACCAATTCAAGACCAACAATTTAAATGGCCCTAGCTCCAGTTTGTAAACAAACAGAACAGGTAGGGGAAATTCTCTTCTACCCGATTGTGGTTTAGGTTTGCGAATGAAGCTTTCGGTTCGCGAAAAAATGGCCTTACAAGGTTTGTTTACAAAATGGAGTTAAGGCTATTTCAATTGTTGGTCTTGAATTGGAACAACACTCTCATTGCTCGGCAGTCGAAACGGTTTATTAATCCGAGCATTTCAATGACTAGCAAAATTCTTGAACTATCAAAGAGAGATCTCAGTATGTACACTGGTTTAATAACAGGACACTGTCCACGTAAATATCATTTGAAGCTAATAGGAAAACTTCAAGAGGACATGTGGCGATTATGTGACATAGAAAAAGCAGACTCTGCTATGCTGGAACCAAACAGGTTATTTGTGTTTTTGACCTAGCACCTTATAGGTCATTCCAGCTCAAGTGTATACAGATTGTAAAGAATGTCTCCGATTTCATCAAAACTTTGCCAAAATGCAATGCCGTTTTGAATTTTGTCAAAGTTTGAAGATTGAAAGTGGCATGAAATATTAACTAATAGTTTCATAAGAGCTCGCAAATCCAACAGCAAAATTCTTGATAAATAACCATAAGGCTACTCTGTTCTTTTTCCTTCCATCCCATCAACATTCAATAAAAAGTAACAGTGAACACTTAGTCACTCTTCCACGTAACAAGAAGCTTCTATTTGTATTTTGAATAAAATTCAACCCCAAACGAAACATTCCCCGAATCCCTTAAAGCGCAAATTCCCGCTTCCGAGAAAGTCTCATCCACCAAGTAACCCTCGTTAGAACCGCAAACGGCACGTTCGGCGGCACAGTCTATGCGCCGTACAAACATAAATTAATCATTTCCAGTCCCATACCAGAGCCGACACGTTTTGACGTTTTCCGTTCCGTGCTTCGCATCGCATATTCAAACACACGAAACGTTCTATATTTATTTTGCAGACCCCTGAAAAACGACGAAAATTCAATCAATTCCAACGTACGGCACAAGATCGTCGTCATGGGGGCGGCCAAGGTCGGCAAGAGTTCCATCATCACCCAGTTCCTGTATGGCACCTTTTCGCCGAAGTACAAACGCACCGTCGAAGAAATGCACCACGGTCACTTCTCCGTCGGCGGGGTCAACCTGACGCTGGACATTCTGGATACGTCCGGCTCGTACGAGGTAAGTCCAATCCATTTTAAATGTCGAATCAAATTACGATAGAAGTCCCTGGCGCCCGTGCTCGAATCCACAACTCAATTACCATAATGGCTCCATCCGTGTCTTCAACGAGTCACAAACGGGTTCATTTCTGACCTGAGGAGCCAAAAGCACACCTCGCACCGTTTGATGGTCCGCCATAACGGACCCAAATTCCATGCCCAAACAATTTTGGACCAAGGGCAAAAATTATCGTCCCGCTGTTTTTCCAAACGTTGTTGAGGGTAAACATCAAACAAACACTGAACCCCCGCAAGGATCCACACGGTCATCACCGGCCGGTTCCCAGAAGGAACCGCCCACTGCTGTGTCGGAAAATTACCATGAGCTTTTTTCCCACACTACTGCCACTTTTGTTCTCGGACGCATGGGAAAGTGCGAACCGTCGTCATCAGCTCAATCAGCAGCGGCTCCCTGATCTCCAACTGAAACTACGCCAACAAGTGGCTCCATCAGCGGGGCAGCATCCTACCGGAAACGAACCAGGCGTAAACACAAATTCATCTCGTCAGAATAGTGGATAGAAGGTTGACTGTCTCTAACGCGCTGGAAAGGTCAGCTTCCGCTTCCGCCTTTTAACCTTCAAGTCATCATTGCCGAGCGGAGCTGAATATGGCGTGAAAAGGGGGATCGGGGTCGGCGGATCGACACAAATTGTTTACACAAACATTGCCTTTTCGTCTACATGGATCCCGACCAGCGTTGGCAGTATTCCATATTTATTCGAATTGAACATATTTTCAGATACGCGGACAGATCAGGTTTATCTCCAGATTTTTTTTTTAATATGTTCCAGATTTTCTCAGATTTTCCCAGATTTTTGAAATATGCAACTTTAAAAATATCACTGCAATTGATTCACCTTCTTGTCAAAAAATTAAAAGCCAAAACTGCTACTTAAACAACATACAAACAGACATATTTAACACAATGAATATCTCTCACTGTAAAATATCGTCGCTAAAACACTACCGCCATCTGTTGAGAAATCTGTGATGGGCAGTGTGCTCAACAGATGGCTACAGTGTAACGGCTGACTAAAAGTAGATTTGTACATTTCTCCAGTTCGAACGAAATCTCGAACCTTTCTCTTGATGGAGCCCATGAGCTTCTGCTCAGTAACGGACACGGAATTGCTCAGTATTTTTCGATTGGTTGAAATTCCGGATAATTCGGAGGATTCATTAGCTTGGGGACAAAATCGATCTTGTTGGCAGCATACCACTCCAGAACCACCTTGGAGTAGTGGCAGCTGACCAAATCGGGTCAAAAGATGACTTTGCCCCTATGCTTGCGGATGAACGGCAATACACGCTTTTTCAGGCATTATTCGAAGTAAACTTGGGATGGTTTTCAGGCCACAACTGCAAATCGCTTTCCAAATAATAGCCTTCTTCGCGAACTTGTCGGCAAACACGAACTTGAATCTTCCCGGCACATTTCCACGTCCAGTCGTGATGTAAAACTTCTGACCGGGAAGCTGCTTAAAATCGAGTTTGACGTATGTTTCGTCATCGATTAAAGTTCACCCTTGTGTTTCACCAAAACACGGTCGTACAAGAGCCTTGCACGCTTTTGGCCACGGAGTGTTGCTTCATGTGCCGGTTCGGATGTTTACTGGCTTTGTACGACTTGTATCCTTTCCTGGAAAGGATGTTCCACACCGCTTAAAAGTTGGCGTTGTACCTTCTGGCCACATCTCGGATCGAAAGACCGGGGTTGGTTTTAACGCACCTCAACACCTTGCAGCGCAGCTGACGATTTCTGGTTCCAGTTTTTTCGTAGGTCCGCTGATTCCTTTCCACACTCAGGGTTTTCTTGTAGGTTTTGAACGCTCGACAAACTGTTGTTTTCGGCATTTTCAGCACTTTATCCAGCTTGGAACTGGTCCACTTTGGATTTTCCAGGTGTTTGTGCACAATATTTTGTCTTCTTTCGAGTTCCATTTGACGTTATTTCTGAACGCGATCGACTACTTTGATCAAACTTGCAGTTGTTCTTTATAGAAGTGTATACAAACCACTGTCAAATATTTTCGACTCCCAACACTAGAGGCGTGCTAGCGGCGCACGAGGGGCGTTCCAATTTACTTTTAGTCAGCCTTCATAAACGTCAAACGCAAGACAATTCTAGATAGAGCTGGAATTAGGGCGTAACAGCTTTTGTAAACAATGACTTCTCTCGATGATTTACCGGAAGTCATGGCTCTCCCTGGCAAATCGACATCACGATCGAGTAGAGGAAGACTTCTCCTACCCGATGGATATGTTGGTTTGTGCAGGCGTGCCTTGAATTCTGAGAAATCAACAAGAGAAGTCATGGTTTACAAAGACTGTTACGCCCTAATTCCAGCTCTATCTAGAATTGACTATGCGCGCCACAGGTGGCGGTACTACCAACTAGAAAACAATTAAATTGGCCGTTAAATGCCTGTTCGATGAACAACTTACGAGAGTTATGCCTATTTGTCTGTGATTAAACCACAGACAAACAGACGTAACTCTTCATTGTGTATCTTCGTTCACGCATTTAACGATTGATTTGAATATTATAAGTTTCGCGAACTACTCGCCGCAGCGCTAGCATCGGATCACTTTGACGTTTCTATACATTCTATAGAAGTTCCATGCCTTATTGTTTGCGAGTTAGGGAGCAAGCTTGTTTTCCGCGAGAAGCCTGAGAGATGTCGTTACTGAGGTCCTATGTTTTGAGATACTATGTTTTCAAGAAAAACTTTTTCAAAGAGTTACGTCTGTTTGTCTGTGATTAAACTATTAAATTCCAATAACGCCAATTGGACACTACTGCAACATCGTTCATGGAACTGTTGCAACCAGTGCTGTGGTTCTGGGTGGTGGCGGATTTTTAGGAACTTTACAGAAGATCTGAGGAATGAAAGGAAATGCTAAAAATTTCAGTGAAGCTTAATATACAAGCTGCGGGAACATAAGAGAAATTCTTAAAACATCTTGAAAATATGGGGAACATCATGGAAACCCTAATAACTTCGAAGTGGTTCCATTAGTTCCTTAAAAGCTGCAGGAACTTTTAAGAAGTTCTTGGAATTTCAGGGAATATTTAGAGAGTTTAACGTAAGTCAACAGAAATTCAGAGATGTGGAGAGAATTTGAGAAAAACTGTGGAAACTTTAATGAAGTTCCAAGTATCTTAGATAAGCTAGATCCAGAGATCTTTGCATTCGTTGGATTTCGTAGTTGGAATTAATTAGAGCATTTCAGAATGTTCCAGGTTTTATATTTTAACTGGACCAGATTTCCCTGAAAACGACCTGGCAACGCTGGTCCCGACCCACACGCGAATGATGGCATTCCGGCACGTTCTTCGCTTGTTGCGTGTTGCGGTCCAGACTCTTCTGGTGGGCGGCGGTAGGGGTAAAGGTTTTCCAGCGCATCAGCTGAGCTGGAGGTGAATGCGATGCGAATGTTTTTCGCTGCAAAATTGGCATTTCGCCGGGAAGGGGAGTAACTAAACGAATGTACCTATATGTATAGCTACTCTCTGCTCCCACGCGCCACTTTGACGGGCATGAGGAGGTTCGCAATAACGAGATGTTTTTTTCCGGTGATTGAAAATCTCGATTGAAATTGTAATCTATTTGTAGGTTAGGTACGATTGGTTGTAGAACAATACGTACTTATAGGATGCCGTTATCCTGGAGACAAACAAGAGGTCCCCGTACTTGCTTGTTTGCTTTTGATGTAGGTTGCTGTAAGATAATTATATGGTGCAGAAAGTACGGGAACATACTTTTACTTTTGGCTGTACAGAACATTACAGATATGCAAGTACGGAAACAGACCTAATATCAGGAAACCTATAGGTGTTTAAAATTTAGCCACTTGCTATGCTATGTGTAAAATGGCTTGATGCAGATTTCATAATTCTGCTCGGTGAGGAACCTAACAATTTTGGATTTACAAGGGCTCTGAAGATAAGGATTTAGACTTGTAGACTGCTTGAAAACCTTCATAAAACTTGTAATGTTACTTGAGGAATGGGATTGAAATTGTATAATGCTTCTATTTCTCAAATAAAGCTTTTATTTATTTTGTTGATGATTCTACACAGTTCGAAAAAGTAGTGTAAATTTATGTAACTATGATGCACATAAATGGAGTGCCCCAGGGGGTAAGGCACTCTGCCACATTGTGCTAACACCCACAGAAACACACTTCGACACACTGCAAGCACCCTTCCGCAACATGACGAGCAATTTTTTAATCAATTCTGGCACCACTGCAAATAATGTTTACATTTTCATTGTTTTGAAAAAAAAAACTAGAAAAAACCGTCCTGCCTTGAAAGAAAAACATTCTTGATCTGGGTTTAAAACCTCCAATCCAAAGAAAAGGAAATGCTAAACCGGTTGGGATCCACGAAAGCACTGACATCAGGATGCTTAAAAAGGTAAAGAAGTCTTGCAAGAAAAACGCAACGGAAAAGTTTCTAATTGTAAATCCCAGGTTCTCACCAGCGGCAGCCCAATCACGGCCCCTCCAATTAATTACAAATGCACCCTTTGCTTGATCCTTCTTCACGGGTGGCACGTACCCATTCGTCTTCCTCCTGCAGCGAGAGGGACAATGCCCGTGTCAGAACTAATTTTCGAACAAGTTACCCTGAACGGTAGCCGCTGCTGATTAATATTCGATCTCTACAGTTGCGAAATGGTTATGGAATTCTACTACTGCTTCTGACGCAGCAAGTCAGTAGTATAGCTGGCGGTCTTCTCATTGTCTTACTCTGATATCCGGAGCTCCAGACTGTGGTCAGTTCAGCTCCAATAATCCTCCCGCCGGTTGTGCTTATTCTTTAAAAAAAAACAACAGCAAAGAAATCGCAGGGGGGTCTGTCATTTTCAGCGTTATGTTTTGGTTGAAGATATGGTTGCCAGTAACTTTATTTTTTCGGTTGAAATTTTGACAACTCGGTCAATACGA